AAACTAAGTGGTTTATAGTAGGTGAAATTTCAGTTTAAAACTCCGAATTCGCATTGAATGTAAAACAAACTACCAAGAGTCCAAACCTTTTTTTCGTCGATCAATTCATGAAGTGCCTTTTTACATTCACTACACCCACTTTTTAACTGCTCCATTAGGTAATCTAACTCAATAATTCGCTCTCCTTCAATAATATTTTGTGTTTGTTTTCAAGTTTTTCTCTCTTGATCTTTTTCGTCTAGTTTTTGTCGCTTCAATGGAACTCTATTTCTGACAAATCTACCATATAGTCGTCGTTTCTTCTTTTCACAACATTGACTTTTATTTTTACAGTAGTATTTAACTATCCCATATAGACACACACGAAGAAATTGCTATTAAAAAACTGATGACAACAATGATCACGCGTTTATTTTGTTTTGTTGTTTTTGATATTTTTGAAAGCATTTAAGTTCCTGTGGATTACRTAATGTGCGCAGTAAAAGTGCGCGCTGACAACTGTACCCACCATCCTTAAAAGAGAAGCGTTCATTCATCCCATGGGGACTGACAGTGSCAAGTGAATGAATAAGCCGCATTTCAAAATTTTTGCGGGAATTATTACCGCCGCCTAATAAACTTAAGCCAAAGACAATGATGTTAGACTCCGTATGATTAGCGGAGTTAAGGGGCGGGAAACTGGTTTCGAAAGATCTTGTTTGCGAATTTAATAAAGGTGATCTCTGAAACGATCCCCTAGACGTCGCCCAGTTTCGCCGACATATAACGAATTGCAAAGAGAACATTCAATATAGTAAATTACATTGGAAGAAATACAATCAAAATGATCAGTAACATAAAACGTCGATTTAGGGCCTTTAACAGAGGTACGTGAAGAAGTGAAAGGACAAGTGTTGCAACGTTTACGTGAACAGCGGAAGGTGCCAGGGTTACTATCAAGAGCAAAGAGTACCTAGTTGACCAAAAAAGGACGCAAATTAAGATCTTTTTWAAAATAAAACATAGGGCGTTGGCTAAGAATATTAGCGGTAGTAGAGTCCGAAATAAGTAAATTAAAATTTCGATTAATGATGGGTTTAATCGAATTGCTAACAGGATGAAATGTAAGAGAGAAAGGAATGCGATCTTGGTTGGTAGTACGAGGCTTAGGAGTTAGAGCAGTATTCCGATCAGAAGATGCCTTGCATAGCACKGTTTATGATAGCTAAAGGACAGCCACGTTTATGAAAAAACGAACGCATCTCTAGTYATTTGTTTGAAAAATCAGTGTCATCGCTACAAGGGCGACGTAAACGTAAAAACTACGAAAAAGGAATAGATTCGAGAGTGTGTTTAGGGTGAGAAGACGAATAGAGTAAATGAGAATGCGAATCATTAGGTTTATAGAAGACAGTGGTACTGAGATGATGTGAAGTAATGCTAACGGAGATATCATAAGAAACGTGACAGAATGATCACTTATCTCCCAAGTAAAATCATGAGCGGGATGAAATGAGTTAACATAAGGAATAAAAAAGTCTTGTTTAGAGCAAGAAGCAGCGAAACGTCAGTTTAATAAAGCTTCTTACKGTGATTCAATTTATCCAYAAGCTACTTTATATTGTTTTATTCAGAAACACCGACGCAGTCTACACTAGTTCTCTACTAGTTATCATCCACTCGTTTTATATAAAATAGCTCATTAATTTGGTGTTTAATACGCAGATGAAAAACCGCAGTGACA